CTTTCTTTCTTTCTTTCTTTCTTTCTTTCGTCCGAGGAAACGTCCTCGCAGTCTGCATTGTTGCTCCGTATTATTCAATCGTATTATTTCGAAGTTTCGCGAGAGTTTTACACTTCTTTCTTTCGGGATTATTTTCGCCTGGCGCTCGATTCCAAAGGCGTTCGGCCCGTTCCCTCTTTCGCGCGAAATAATTTCACCGCGGCAGATTTGTGCGACTCACCACAGAGGTAGTTTTCAGCAGAGAACGGTTGGTTCTGGCTTGAATAACGCCGAGGAAATTGGCCGAAATTACGGTCGACGCGAGCCGAGGGCCGACTGAACGCGATAACACCTCGCTTCTCGGCGAAACGTAATAAACCTTCGCTATTTGTCGACACGCCGAAGAACACTCCTTTGTTAAACACTTGCCAACGAAACAGGAATTCTTGATTCGAGGATGCGATTAAATCGATTGAATTCTGACGAGTTTTCAACTTCTGGAAGACTCTTGGTGTCGAGATGCATGGAAAACGAACGAGAGAGATCAAAGGGGAGTACAAAAGAGAAGCTTCCGGTGTACAAATTTAGATAACACGAAGTCACAAAATTACCCAATTTGCATGACGAGAGGACGTTTCGATAAATTACTTCTCGTTTGTTTTCCTTCGTCTACGGCATTATTAATGATCGGCGTCGTAGTGACTTTCAACAGAAGAAGAGAGTTCGCAGCCACCGAATGGATCTCGTTGCGACTTCTGTCGCAGACATTGTTGCAAAAATTTGCGACGAGGATGTCGAAATCAGAACTCGCATGCGTGAAAAGCAAGCGGTGGTCGACAACAACAAGCTCGTGCTTGAAAATTGTTTTTCGGCCGTGGTCATCGTTGATACTACGTGAAACGCGACGGCCCGGTCGAGTATCTGGTGGAAAATACCAGAGTGGCCGCATAAATTCAATGAATCGGCAGCCGTGGCACCATTCTTTTTAAATGGAAATCACCGCAGATCGTGACAGGTCGAACAATAACGTCGCGGAGCGCTGCAGCGAGGGGGAGAGGGATGACAGAGGAGAATATAGAGAGAGAAAGAGGAAGAGGCTGGAGAGATAGAAAGAGAGAACTTGTACGAGCTGCATTGTTTATAATCACCCTTGTGCGTTAAATTAAATCTGGCCGGGTTCGTCCCGCTTCATTGTTTCCGCGCGTGATATCATCCAGCCACCGGTAGGATTTTACGGTCCTACAATTTATCCTGGATATTCTGCGAATTATGCGCTTTCCGGGACTCCTGCCCGCATTTCACCCACGACCAATCTCCCTCTCCCTCTCTCTCTCTCTCTCTCTCTCTCTCTTCGCGCGTTGCTGCACGTTTAGTTTACCTTCGTTACCGACGCGATTAAACGACCATGTTCCGCCACCGGGTCCGCTGATAAATCCATTCCGAAACTGACGATGAGAGCCAGAGAGGGGACACGACGAGAGAGGCAGTCGAGAACGTTCGTTTTTTTTATCGAGCTGCAATTTCGTCGAAACGAAACTCGACGTTCCGTGACGGTTTATATCCTTCGAGATCGCGATACCGCGAACGACGTTCTTCCGATATGACTATCGATTTACAGCTCGACGTGTAAGTAAAGTAAAGGCAAAGTCGCTGAACGACTACGGAGCGACGACGATGCTTGCGATTGATCTTCGACCACCGGTTTCTCACGGACCGTCATCCCGCCTACCCGGGGAAATTCTCACGTTGTTTTGAATAAACGTTTCATAGGATCGGTTTGCATAATGGAACGAGGAGCGAGATACTACGTCAGACGCGGCGGCATTTTCATGGAAATTTTCAACGAGACGTTGCAGAGCGCGGAGACGAGATGGTCAGGATCGTGGAGAAAGGATGTCGGGACGGCGTGGGTCGCGCCGGAATGGGATGCCGCGTAATTTATCGCAGGCAATATTACCGACGACATTGAGCGGTCTGGAAAACCTCAGGCACCCCCCTTCCCCTCCCTCCTTCCCCCGTGTGTCTGTGTTTTATGGCGGTCGAGGCTCTCCCATATTTCGGCTCCGCTCCTCTTTTGTCCCGGTGAATTTAAACGTGAATCGTCCCCGGATCGACGAACATTCGGGAAATACGTTTGCAAACGATGCAAAAAAAGAAAGAAAATCAAAACAATTTCACTTCTGTGATCTTTGTTCGTTTCTTTCCCGTACTTTTGTATCACGCGGTATTCTATCGATCATACATACAAGATGGAAACTTTGAAAACTTGTCGAACGTTAGGTGTCGATTAACGTTTGATTATTGCGATCAACCACAAGCAGCAGGCTTTATAAATCATCCAGGCCCGGTTCGCATCGCAGCTGGATAATAAATCGGGAGATGTTTGAAGAAGCGTTCCCGAGTAATGGTCAGGTCGTTCTACTCGGCCGGCGATGATCGATTCGTTCACTTAATGCGCCATTTCTCTTGTATTCTATTTCCCGGTGAAATTGGTTACGGAACAACGTCGCCGCGTTCGCCGGCAGATTTAAGTAGATTGGATCACACGGACGAGCGAGCAGCAGCATTTTTAATAATGGAAAATCCATTTGGACGCGTCGCGAATGTATATCTTGTTTGCCCGGCGTTTCGTCGAGTATCTCGCTTTATTTCTCGTCCATGTCTTCTTGCTTTTCAAACGAATCAAGCATTTCCAACGTGTGTACGTACAAGGTGGAAAAGAAAGTCTGTCCGTGGCTATCGTAGATGAATTCTACACCTTCGATTTGATGGAAACACATGTGAAGAACTTGTCATTTCAAGGTGAAAAAATTTTTCTCCTTTTTTTCTCCCGCATTGTATTCCACTCATCACAAAGGTACAACTTTTCCAAGGAAGCATAAGTCGCAAGCTAATAGTTCTTTTGAAAAATGGCAGAAAAGTTAGTGCTGACGTGTGCGTTCTAACAGCGACTTTATGGACGCGTAGATCTCTATTTTTGTATTAATACGTATTTTTCGTAAATTCACTAACGTTTGATTTATCATAGTTGTAGCATCGATGTAAGTCTAAATAATCAAATGGTGAAACTAACTGTTAGCATCATTCGAAATATAAATATCCAGAACCATAAAGTCACTGTTGGCACGCGCACAATGTTAAATGATTAAGAAACTTTGGGCCATTTTTTTAGAAGAATTATATGGCTCTTTGGAAAAGTTTTACTTTCGTGATGAATATAATACAATAAAAAAAAAAAAAATCAAGATCAATTTTTTACATGTTTCTTCCATCTTTCTACTCTGTATTCTTTCTACTTTCTACGGAAGTAACAAAATCGTCGAAAAGATCAGTCAGTCTAATTAATTTTCTCTTTGTCTCTCAGTTGGCAAAGGATCGCAGCTGATCGTTTCGAGCGATATCAGCAGGAATAAATTGGTTGCGTCGTCGCGAGAACGTCGCGACACATTCGGAATAATAAAGCGACATGCGCAAACATAAATCTCGCGTGGAACAACGCGTTGGACGGCTTCCGGATGACTAGGGATGAACCGAGATCCGTCTTATCGACGAGGAGACGCGTTTACCCTCGTTTTCTTCCTATCAATCCGGCTCTAGCCTACTTTCGATCTGCCAATTTCGTCATCGTGAGATAACAGCAGGGACGAACGTCGAATCGTGGCGGCTGGAAATCTCTTTCGAAGAGAAGAAGAACGGGCCAATGACGCGAACGAGCAATCCCGAATTTTATGATAATTGCACGATGAACTCCTTTGGACGCGCTTCGTTTACGAGTTCGTGACACATATTTCCGGGCCAATGACGCGAACGAGCAATCACGAATTTTATGATAATTGCGCGACGGACTGCTTTGGATGCGTTTCGTTTACGAGTTCGTGGCACATATTTCCGGCAGTATAGATGGCTTTACGACTGGCCGTAATTGGCATTCGAAATTTTTTACTTTCTCTCCCGTCCGTTTGCTCTCTAACAATAAGTCTGTTCGACCTTTTGGGAGAAGAACAGAAGAAGAACGAATCTAGTTTCGTTCTTATACTCTCCCTCTTCTTCGTCTTCATCCCTCTTTCTTTCGATTTCATTATTCTGATACGTCTTCGACGAATAGAACGGTGGATGGCATTTCGTAGGAGGAGACGAAAGACAGACAAGAAGAGGAACAAAGGAGCTCACGGTGGTTGGCTCAGCGAGTCAGACGGTAGAAACGAGCTTCGATGCTCAGTCAGTAGAAAAGGAACGTCCCCTGCCAGACGCCGATCGAATAATTCCTACAAAGAGAATTTTTCCGGCGTGTGATTCTTCCCAGT